TATGTAAAATTCACTATAAGTCCCTTATTCTTGAAATTTTCTGTATAATCTTATAAAATTATTTTCATCAAAATCTGATGACTTTGAAAATTCACTTAAATTTCATCGCGATGCATCGAAATGTGGGAACACTAACAATTTACATTTTTGGATTGTAGAAGCATCTCATCACATATAAGAATAGATATAGGTAAACGTAGATTGATTATTTTCTTATAAAAAACATAAATTGTTTATATTCCAAAGATTGTAAAATTATTCCATGTAAAAGTTTATTTACATAACATCACTTATTAGTTTTGAACTTTAAGATGAAGGGGCAGAAAATAAAAAATAAAGTAAAATATTATTTTAGGATTATATGGGCGTATTTAAATAATATTAAAAAAATATTTTTGAGAGTAAGATACAATATCTTAAGATTTTTTTTGTTCATGAGGAAGGTAATGTTTTATGAAAAATAGTAGCTAGTGATATTAAAAATTATGCAAAAGATTTGCTTGGAGTATCAAAGGGAAAAGCTCCTAATAATAAAAATAATTTGTGGTAGAATAAAAAAGTGCAAGAAAAGATAAAAAAAATAAGAAGATTTATTATAAAAACTATTTTAGATGTAAAAATTATAATTTTTGAGAAGATATATATAGTTTCTTAAGGAGTCTAAGAAAGCAATATGCGATGCAATGATTTTATCTTTTAATGATTTATATAATATATTAGATAATAAGGAGGGTGAAAGATATATGTATAAGAGGATATTCAACAAAGGTAAATTAGATATTTTTATAAACTCTTCAATGAGGATTATTAGAATGCGATGACTTTAGTAACCTTACTAGCTTAAATTAAAAAAAAAAAAAATTCTATCGGCGTATTAGTGAAACCGAAGTTAGAGTGGCTTTAAAGAAAATGAAGTGTGAAAAGAAAGGGATTAATAATGCTTATATTCAAGTCATTAAGGATATGTATGTAGAAGTTGTTAGTTGTGTTCAGACACAAGGTAGTTTGAACAAGTATTTTCCTATTTTTAGTTCGATTACATCAAGGATCTGCCTTAAGCCCATATCTTTTTGCTTTAGTCTTGGATGTTCTCACTGGACATTTGCAAGAGGTTTTACCCTGGTGCATACTTTTTGTTGATGATATTTTTCTTACAAATAAGACTAGAGAGGGAGTTAAAGTTAAACTTGAATTATGGAGGTCAACCTTAGTCTAAAGGCTTTCGTTTGAGTAGATCTAAAACTAAATATATGAAGTATAATTTTAGTAATAATAGTTCTTATGAGGGGCATTATGAATTTGGTTGATCATGTGAGGTTTTAGATATCTTGGTTCTTATGAGGGGCATTATGAATTTGGTTAATCATGTGAGGTTTTAGATATCTTGGGTCTATTGTTCAGAGTGATGATGAAATTGATGGGGATATTATTAGTAGAATTCAAGTTAGATATTTGAAGTGGAGGAATGCATCGGGCTTGTTGTTTGATAGAAACATCCCCCTCAAACTTAAGGGAAAATTCTATAAGATTGTGGTTAGACCTGCAATGCTTTATGGCGCAGAATGTTGACCATCAAAAGAGAATCATAATATTAACTGTTGTAGAGAAGAGGATGCTCAAGTAGATGAGTGTCTTTACTCTTAGAGACAGGATCTGAAATGAGCATATACGTGAAAAGGTTTGAGTAGCTCTAGTGGAAGATAAGATTAGAGAGTCAACTTAGTTGGATTGATCACATAAAACGGCAACCTTCTAATGACCTGGTTAGAAAAGTAGATGTATTAGATATGAATTATGTTAAGAAATGTAGAGGCAGAACTAAAAATACTAGGTTAGAAAATATTAGAAATGACATTTCTTTATCAGATTTAAATGATAATTTTGACAGTGAATAATGGAGAAAAAGGATTCATGTACCCGACCCTACATAGTGGAATAAAGGCTTGATGTTGTTGTTGTTCTCTCTATATATAAACTTTACCTATTAATAGTAGCTCAAGGACCACATGCAATAGCAATTTGCTTGAAATATTTAAGTTGTAATAATCAGCACAAAAGTATAATGCAATGGGGATGATAGATATAATGCAAAATAACTTAATTACCAAGCTTAAATTCTATGTACATATTCTTCACATCATTAGAGAACTTATGATGTCATAATTAGTGTTTAGCTTTCTATAATAATCAACATGCAAATCATGCATAAGTTTTATGAATGATTGTGCAAATGCACAAAGCCTAGACACTATAGGATGAATTGTATGCTAACTCAGTCATGCAAGATTTCATATCCTAATAAGATGCATGACCTTTAATCATACATCAAAATTGATCTCATAAGTTCCAAATTTTAGTTCAATTTGTCCATCAAATTTGAATTTTTATAGCAAATTAAGATCAAAATACTACTACACTGAAATATAGGCTTAATGAGCCTAGTTGTCAGTAAAGTTTTGATTGCTTAAATATCCACTCATGCAATTTTGAAATATGCTGAATGAAGATAATTAATTTTCTTTTTTATCATAGTAGCCGGATACAAAGTAAAGGATTTGAAGCAAAGGCTAAATAAAGCTTTACTCAAAAATTTTTGCATGCTTTCTACAATAAGTAATGACGCATGCACAAAATTCATTATAGTTCAAAATCATAGATCTATATTTTATCTATTATTTAAATCAAAGTAATAATAAGTAGCAAACCATAATAGTGCCAGCTCATGATGTTGTTCTTGCTGTTCCATATTCTTCCGTGGGAATGCATCATTTTATTCATCATAAAGAATTGCTTATAGAGAATCACACCTAAAAAATGACTGATATGGCTTGACTATCAGTCATCCACCTAAGCAAATCCTAGACATGCAAAACACAACTTAGCCAAGATGGCCTCCTAAGAGGTCTTAAACATGAAGTTAGGTTGGCTAAGATGGACTTCACACTTTGCCTCCACAATTATGTTTCAAGTACTTGCCTAAGAAAATCTAAATAAAGTAGATAGAACAAATTTGAATAACGCATGACTGATGTGCATATATATTCATATTCAATCACTATTCTTTTTCACAATCTAACCTGCATATAGGATATGAAAGCTTGAGAACGACAATATGAAGTGTTATGAAATAGATAGTTAATTTAAACCTTTTGTGCGATTATATTTGGCTAACGAAAAAATCACAAGCAGCTTTTTAATATTAGTACAGTATATTGGGTGTGTGTATATATATAT